CACTGGCTTATATAACACTTGATTATATGACACTTCATTCGAATATTGACTTTAACTTCTTTTGAAAATTGAAACAAGAGAATCATAATCAAAAATTAACGCAATACATCATTCTTCGCTTCTATCTCAACTACTTCGAAAATCAAAGTAGCGACTCACCTTCGCCATGCACAAATATCTAATTTCTTCACAAAGAAAACTAAAAGGACAAAGAATTAGCTTTAATCTTTTCTTTTTTATTGTCATCAGATTATGCATGAAAAAAGAAAGAAAATATTGCTTCATCACTATACAAGTGCAATAATAGTGTCTATTATATAGGTAGCGATAATCTTCTGATGGAGAAATGCGTAAGAAAGTCTACAACTAAAATTTGTACAACATTGAACAAAACAGTGGCGATATTAAAGTGGTTTGTTTTGAAAGAGTTGAGAAATGTAAAATCTTATTTGGTGAAAATGAGAATAATGATAGAGATTGAGCTTTTTTTTTAAATGTAGATAAGATCTACAGCTAGATTCCGATTTTCTGAACATATTTGAAAAATTATTTTGTTTTCGAGGAAGTTATAAATGAAAGATCTGGCTCTGCCAAGTTGTACAGCATAATGTTCTTTTTAATTTTTCAATGTTATCGAGCTTTCAAATATCTAAAACAAGCAAGAGCTCGTCGCCATCAGAACAGCAAAAAACAGAAAAATTTATTTAAAGAAAGGCAAGAAATACCTTTGAATTCTAAAAATGAACGTTTTAATGATGCCAAGCGTTTAAAATAAAATTGACTTGAAAGATATGTGAGCATATATCAGACATAATTATTCACTTATGCATGTCACTTTCTTCATAAGAATTTCGAAAGTCATTATTCTGCAGAAAAATTCAAACTTCTAGAAGAAGTGTCATAAATTAAGCTTATAAATCACTATAGATAATTCAAAAACTCTTTTTTTTCTGTGTACCGAAGCACAATAAAAGCGATAGAAGCAATCCATGTTCTGTCATTTGTTCAAATGTTGTCTAACGTGATCGAAAAATGGGTGACGAGACGCAATTCTCTCTATTTTCGAATTTGAAGAAAATTCCTCTTACTATACAACTTAAAAGTGAGTTTGCCATAGAATTAGCTATCACCAACATAGAAAATATCTTCATTGTTGACTTTGTAAAATGCGATTATTAACGAGTATTGGAGTCTCTATTAGGCATGGGCAAAATCGACTTTTTTTGGAACTGGAACCGTATCGGAATCGGCTTCAACAATTTAGGAATCGTATCGGAACCGGCTTCAACAATTTAGGAATCGTATCGGAATCGGCAAGGAAATTTTTTTTTCGGATCGGAATCGGAATCGTCTATCCGGAATCTAGGCTGCTCGAAAATTCGTTGACGTAAAAGGCAATTATATGTTTCTATTATGATTCTGTTGCATGAATTAGTGTTTGTATTCGTAGTAGAGGGCGCTTCCAAGCTTTTGTTTATAAACATGAAGTTCCCAAATACTGCTACAAAGAAGCACTTTTAAAGCCCTTTTTCGAATCTGAAAAAATAGTATGTAGGGTTTTCTTATGAATTTGTACAATTTATTTTATTACTGTGAGCTTCTAGTCACCCAGGCCTACTTTGTTGCTTTATGAGCATCTTTTACACATTTTTAAGAAACAAGAAACATTGATTTCAAGTCTAGTGTCCGCAAAAATTCGAAGCCACGTCTTTTAACTTAGTTTTCTTTTCATGAAAGTGTTTGCTAAAAGACAAGCAAATTGTTTTGAAGAAAAATGCCATTTATTCTTGGTTTTTCAGACATGTTGAAGAAATCTTTACAAAAAATGGGCGTGGATTATTAAAGACTCAATATAATGAAACGAAATTCAAGGAGCACAAGAAAAAGTTCTACATGCTACTTTTTGCAATCTGAAGCAAAAAACTTTAAGAATACTACTCTATAGGAGCGCTTGACAGCTTTGTAATTAGGAATAAAAACTTAAAAGAATCTTGCACTTTGAGTAGAGAAATTAATTTATCCAATAAAACCATAATAGAGATATGTAAGTTTCTTTCTGATAAATAATTTTTCAGGCATGCTGTATACATTCTTTGATTGCAAGGTATCTCTTCTTAAGAAAAAATGCTTTTTTTTAAATACTTTTTAAAGAAAATTTTGAACTATTAATTTTGTTCTTTGGTGGGAAATAAAGATAAATTTTGTTTTTCATCAAAAATATTTCTGATTCCAATATCTTTGTAACTTGTAACTGGAACTGGATCGGAACCGGCTTAACTTTTTTAAGAATCGTATCGGAATCGGCAAAAATAATTTTTTTTCGAACCGGAATCGGAATCGGGATCGGAATCGCCGATCCCGATTCCGATTCCGATTCCGATCCGGAATCGCCCATCCCTAGTCTCTATATAGCAAGAATACAAAGATTGTGATATGCTGCAGTTATTTTGAAATACAACTGATCAATCGTTTATTTCTTAAAACAAACCACTGGCAATGAATTCGAATTTTTCATATCCGAACTAATGCTGACTAGCCAACGTGTCAAAATGGAGTTGAGTTATTAGTTATCACTAATTCTGACTTATATGAAACTCTACTTCCAATCTATGCTCATGCTCTCAATTTCCTTCATTTTTCTTTTTCTTCTGTAGGTGCCTTCGTTTATCGTATAACCTCTCTTTTCTAGATCAATAACATGTGTTATTGCATAGCAAAACTGATATTCATTGCTCTTCTATCTTATTCATTTCTATCAGTAAGTGAACAACAATATACTCCTGATTGGACATCACTCGATGCACGCCCATTACCCAGATGGTATGACGAAAGTAAAATAGGTATCTTCATTCACTGGGGTTTGTACAGCGTTCCAGCTATCTCTACCGAATGGTAGGTTTACTTTATGAGTTACTAGAAACGCACGCCTATTCTATGTTCCAAAGATACAGAAGAAAAACAACACTATTTGTTCGAATCGTTAATAGGATGTGGTGGTATTGGCAAGGTACTAATCCACATGAGGACATTCTAGCTTATATGAAGAAAAACTATCCACCAGATTGGACTTATGCAAATTTTGGTCCACAGTTTCGTGCGGATCTCTATGGTGAATATCAATTAGAGATTTCTTCGGAAAACATTGACAATCTCTCTGCATTTTAGATCCAAATGAATGGGCTGATTTATTTGCTGCTTCTGGTGCAAAGTCAGTCGATACTTTTCTCTTTTTCATAGAAATATCTCGCATTCTCGCTTTAGATACGTTGTTCTTACTAGTAAGGTCAGTTCCAAATGTATTGATATTACAATATCAACGAAATAGTTTCTCTTGTCTTTCGAAAATAGCATCATGAAGGTTATGCTATGTGGCCATCGACATTTAATTTTAATTGGAATTCAATGCATGTTGGTCCAAAACGAAATTTACTTGGTTCGAAAGACTCTCTTAGTTCTATTTTCTTTTTCTCAATGTGAAATTTTCAGGAGATCTAGCTGTAGCTATTCGAAATCGAACAAATCTTGTCTTTGGTTTATATTATTCATTGTTTGAATGGTTCAATCCAGTCTATCTACAAGATCAATCTAATAATTTCACCACTCAATACTTTCCAGAAGTAAATGTTCACTATGAATGAAACAGAGTTAGATGAAGAATGTATCTTTATAGACGAAAACACTGCCTGAACTCAGAGAACTCGTAGAAACATACAAACCTGAAATAGTCTGGTCTGATGGCGAATGGCGTTTGTTAATTAATCTCTATTCTTCGAATGCATTTACATTCTATTTCAGAGGCACATGATACCTATTGGAAGGCTTCTCAATTTTTAGCTTGGCTCTACAATGAAAGTCCTGTGAAAGATACTGTCGTACGAATTAGTCTATAGTTAACGATCAACATATCTAGTGAGTTTGTATAGGTTGTCAATGATCGATGGGGTAGAGATACTCCATGTAAACATGGCGATTTCTATACCTGTACAGATCGTTACAATCCGGGATATTTAATTGAGCATAAATGGGAAAATGCTTTTACGGTATGACGTTAAGTTGTCAAAAATTTAAATGAATTTTAATAGTTATTATAATTGAATAGATAGACAAAATATCATGGGGTTATCGTCCTACTGCTAATATTCAGGATTATATGACGATTGAAGAAATGATCAAAGAAGTAGTTATTACAATCAGGTTGTTTCTATTTCTTTGTTCAAAATTTTCATTAAAAAAATTATTATTATTATTACTTTTTGTTCAGCACTGGAGGAAATGCCTTGATCAATGTTGGTCCCAACATGCATGGAAAGATTCCACCAATATTTCAAGAACGTCTTCGACAAATGGGTTTATGGTTACAAGTCAATGGTGAAGCTATTTATGCTACTAAACCATGGAAGTATCAAAATGATACCATCAATCCAAATGTTTGGTAAGTCTAATTAAATAGAGAAGTTGTAGAGATTTTTCTCGCTTTAGGTATACATCATCACAAGACAATAAATTCGTCTATACTTTTCTTCTTATATGGCCAAAAGATAGCACTGAAATAATACTTGGTGCTCCGTTGAGTTCTTCAAGAACAATTGTGACACTTTTGGGTTCAACTGCTGATTCACTTCCATGGCATGTAGCTAGTGGAGATCGTGGTATTGTGATCGATGTTTCAGCAATCAAACTTCATTTACTACAAAGTGAATGGACATGGGCATTCAAACTAGAGAATATTAGTGGTTAATAAGTGGCGTTCAGAAAATCGATGAATTATGAATCGTGATTAGTCGTTACACACTGAAAAACTATGAATTACCATGTTCGATACGGAATTTTTCGGGTGTTCTATTTATACATGTGTTTTTTCTTATACATTCCTCCTATAAATCGTCTGGTTTTATTCATTTTGTGATTTTCATTGATTAATGTGATAGAGATTTAAGTAGAAGAATTAAAAAAACTAGAAACTCACAATTGAAGTTCGATTAGAGAGAAAGAAGCATTAGTAAAAAATGCTAATACCCACTAATATTTATTCGCAACTTACTCCTCCTGAGGTACTGAAAAAAATTGGAAAAAGTACTTCGATATATATATATATATATATATATATCTAAGAAAATCTTCTTGTCATTTCACTAAGCTTCTCTGAAAATGTTTACGCTACATTTTTTGGAAGAAAGGAAAAAAGCCTTTAATGATTGGGTTGTTGAAGTCGAGCCAAATATTATTTTCTACATGGTTTTGATAGATATTTTTATAGAATTTGATAGAGTTCAACAAACTCTACAAAACTATCAATATCAAGAAAAATTCGAATCATGTTTTCAATATAAAACTCGAATGACATCACGTAGACTACTAAAAATCTTGCATACCCATCATGAGAGAGTATGCTTAGGTTTCAAGAACTTTAGTCAGCCAACTTGATGGTGTGGGTGTGGGTGTGGGTGGGTGTGTGGGTGTGGGTGTGAGTCAGTGAGGTGGGTGTCCGTGTGGATGCAAGTATTACCTTCTTATCATTCACACCCACACCCACACCCACACCCACACCCTTATTCATAATAGCTCGATTCATCATAAATAAAGTAATGTCGTTAAAATTGCTGTGTTAAAAGGTTTCCACTGAAATTTCTTAAACAGTGTGTTCAACTTCTTTTAATAGGACTAGCAATAGTGGGTGGATGTGGGTGTGAAGAAGAAGATCGAGAGATGATAAATCAATCGGAAAGGATTGTATCACAACATCGCGATGTGGAAGATTAGTGAATGGAGAATGGTGAATTCAAGATCTTTTCGATTGACATTGAGATCCAAAATATTCTGTTGGATAAAGACAAAGGATTTCATCAGGTTGAGAATCGGGGAAAAACGATCTATTGTTGTGACAAGGATTAGAGAGACAACGATAGTGTTCGATCGAACATCGATCACCGAATTGATTCAACGGACATTAACAGAAGGCGATGGCAATAATTGTCGCCGAAGTGAAGATCGAGAGTTCGATTGATCCAAAGATCCTGTTGAACAATAACCTTGAAGATATTGGGGATCTTCAGACAAATAGTTGTGACCAGTGAAATTCGTCTTGCAGAGACAAATGAAAAGAGATTTTTTATTCATCAATTGATGACATTTGACATTGGGATAACAAAGATTTCGATCATTAGAAGATTCACTCAAATAAAGAACTATAGCGAAATGATAGACAGGAGGATAATCAGAAGCGATCGAATATTTCCATATTGAAATCAATGATGGTTGTCCATACATCCGTGTGCGATAGAGTTCGATTTGAATAGAAAAGGGGTGAAGATCGAGAAGAGACGATCGATTGAAGAATCGTTATTGTCGTTGTTGGTGAGATGATGAGGAATGAGGATAGAGAAAGTAGATGATCAACTTCTTCTTCTTCCAAGTCATGATCAGACTATTGCTGATCTCAACGGATGGATGAAGATGAAATTGGGGTGTGGGTGTGGGTGTGCATTCTTTTCATACCCCACACTCACACTCACGCCTGCGTCAGGGTGACCCTGTCTTGTGACTGTCTCTGTTGTGTACTCTTGACTCAAGTAAGATCAAACATATACTTAGAACAGTCCTTACGAAGTGAAGAAATGTAAAATAAGATAAAACCACTTTAGTTCTATATGAAGATTCTTAGTCTAAATTTCGATTCTAGTTTGTGACGTTTGTGTGCAAATGGAAACAAATAGCTGAATGAACAAAAAAATTTACTTGTTTTCTTGTTTTTTTTTCTAGCGCTGACATGTTTTTTAATCATAATTCAATATTCATGGAACAATCTCATATCTTTTCGATTAGATTAGTGCATATTGAACAAATTCATCGATTCAAATGCAGCTGAAATATGCTCTGTTACTGCCAATCGGAATAAGCAATTAAGATCGGCGAAAAGCTTGAACTGATTTATGCTCAACAACAAAATACTTTTACTAGGAAATAGAAGCAATAAGTCTTATGTCTTCCAAACTCATTGGTTTACCTACCTCATTCCATACACTTTGATGCTAATTGTGCATCTGCATACACACTGAGCTACAGTATGAGCAATACCAATAGTAGGCTATTTTTTCCATGCTTTCATTCTTTCCGATTGAATACTTATTGTTTTTTTTAATTCTACATAGTGATGCCTTCGAAGAGAACTAAACGAACCATTTTAGCGATCAGAAAAAAAGAAAATTATAACAAACAACAGAAACGAGTGTCCTAAAAGGAAGTTATTACTTCCATTCATTCTTCCACTATAGATAAAAAGCAGTGTGATGATTCAAGGTTTGTCAAATGAAGGTCGCAATATTTGTTTCTACAATAGTGTTCCACAAGTATTAGCTTCTACTCGATCATTACTCACTCATTTCGAGTCTATTTCAACTAGTTTCAATCAATTGCCATTGCATCGTCATCTTAACTCCCTTCTTCATCATCTTTTAACTCAAAATTCGTTCAGTAAATATGAGGAACCTGAAAAATTTTAGATGAATTAGGTCAACTAAATTCATTATTTTTCAGTAGATCACAAGAAGACGCTCGGGAGTTTCTTGCTACTCTTCTCCAACGACTTGCCTTAGAAAATAGAACTACAACTAAACTATTCGAAGAAACATTACAAAATATAATGGAATGTTCATATTGTCATCAACAATCGATTAATAAGGAACCTATTTATAATCTCTCATTACCACTGGAAAAACCATGAAAAGAAAATGACGATGATAGTAGAAAACGAAAAAAGAAATATCGTTCTGACAAGTCTAAAATAATGCAACAACATTATCAATCTCTTTATTCTTATTTACAATCATTTCTTAAACCAAAATCAATCGAAGAATACTTCTGCGATACATGCTTATCGAACAGTTCAGCAACTAAAAAAAGTTTTCTATTTTAAAATTTCCATCATCTATTTTAGTAGTTTATTCAAAATGATTTTATAGTCTTCATTTTGATCTTTCTAACGAGAAAATCAATGATTATATCTCTTTTACAGAATTTTGGTTCGATAACCAATATTCTCTATATGGTATGATTGTACATTGTTGTGCTTCAACTGGAACTGGTCACTATGTGACCTATATTCGATGAAATAATAACAATTGATACAAAATTTCAGATAGTGTATATGAACAAGTCGAGCTGAATAGTATATACTTGTCTGTACACAAGCTTATTTACTTTTTTTATGAACAAGGTTAAACTTGATTTTAGTGATTCAAATATTAATTTCTCAACTTTGATTTTTTATTTGTTTCTTTTTTCTTTTTCTCTAAAACAGATCTAATTCTAGAAGAAACAGTGTGATTGAGATGAGTTTTCCATTTATTATTATCTTTTTTTCCGCAATATATTATTAATTTGTTGCAATACTTGATGCAGAAATTATTTTTTGAATATCAGTTTTTCAGCCTTCTCAAAAAA